ATATACAGGGTGACCCATTTTAATCTATAATTCAGAATATCTCCTAAACTACTCGTTCTACGGGAAAATAGTTGCGACAAAAAATGTTCAGGATAGAAGGGTTCACAAACCTGTGCTAATAATCTTGACCTTGAGATGACCTTTCAAGGTTATTTGAAGGTCAAGGTCTTTTTTTTTTAATGGGAACCCCTATTTTTTACCCCAGATTTGGAAATAACAGGAAATTTTACGTTCAAAATGATATTTTGAAAATTTTTTATGACCTTCAAAGGTCAAATGAAGGTCAAATGTCTAAAAATGGCTGTAGAGCTGTTTTTCTGAGTGATTATGGTTTTTTAGAGAAACCTTGCTATGAACTGTAGACAGTTTCGAAAGACGTTTACATTTATGTCTTCAAGCCAACGGAGGCAACTTCGAACAGTTACTTCGTGGTTGATTAGTAGCATAACCAAGGTAATAGTGAGAGGCAAGGGGACTCACGGGAATCAAGCACCCCAAACGTGAGAGGCAAGGGGACTCACGGGAATCAAGCACCCCAAACGTGAGAGGCAAGGGGACTCACGGGAATCAAGCACCCCAAAGGAAACAGTACTTACTACGTCCACGTCGTTGTTTCTGGATAACGCCAAAAATAAGAAGAATATCTTACTCCAATGAGCGTGCAAGAAAGCGATTTCCACCTTGTGTGGTGGATTTCACACGAGCGATGAAAATCGCGAAGACGTGTCTTTACTCACGTTAATTTCCTGCTTTTTCAAATCCAACGTCAAAAATAGGGATTCTTATTTCAAATAATCACCTCGACCTTCAAATGACCTTCATAGTTAACTTAAAGATCAAGAAGGTCATAGCATATTACACTTATTTTTTAAAGTTCCTCCAACGCTTGTCAATCCTAAAAAACCATAATCACTCAGAAAAACAGCTCTACAGCCATTTTTAGACATTTGACCTTTATTTGATCTTTGAAGGTCATATAAAAAATTTTCAAAATATCATTTTGAATGTAAAATTTCCTGTTCTTTCCAAATCCGGGGTAAAAAATAGGGGTTCCCGTTGAAAAAAAAGACCTTGACCTTCAAATAACCTTGAAAGGTCATCTCAAGGTCAAGGTTATTAGCACAGGTTTGTAAACCCTTCTATCCTGAACATTTTTTGTCGCAACTATTTTCCCGTAGAACGAGTAGTTTAGGAGATATTCTGAATTAT